GTTGTGTTCATTATCTGATTGTTTCCGTCAAACACAGGCCTTGGTGGTCCTTGTTTTCAAGCTGTTGTCAGCAATTGGGCTGCTTCAGAGGAGATGATGACTTGCCTTGGTGCTGCAGTGGCACACATCTCGGGTGTGGGGCAGCTGCATTTCCGCGGAGAGCCTCGCAGCACTGTCTCTAGCCTTTCCTAAAACCATTAGCTCCCAAACCTTTGCCATGGAGCATCTGTTTTTAATGTGCTGTTTGTTGCCTCAACCCATCCTTCATCTCGTCTCTCCTGGGACCGAAGTAGTCCTTTTCCTTTCCTTCCCTTGCCAGGTAACAGCAAGCTGATCCACCCCACGCAACGGACAAGTCTTAGCCCTTACAGCAGGTCACCGGGCACTGGCCGAAGGTCCATTTGCTATTTGTTAGTTTATTCTTGCAGTAATTATTAAAATACAACCGTTGTACGACAGTGGAGAGCTAAATTATATGGCAAACAGCCTCGTGGTAACAACATCGGAGGAAAGACTAGTTCAAATCACTGTAAATCAAGTGGACTTAAATCTCTCATGTTCCCTTCTGGCCGTATTTCACCACTGAAATAAAGTAGGTTTGCTTAATGCGAGAAGACTGACAGCGTGAAGAAACCGGGTAAGCGTCTTTCATTGAATTAAGAGCAATCACATAATTCTGATTTAGAGGGGATCACCACAATCAAGGAACCAATGAGGAAAGCAAAAGTGTTTTGGTGGCTTGACAGTTTAAGGGTTGGAGAAAATGCGAGGAAACCTGTTCAAAATCCTGAAATGGGAATGAACTTAAGACGAGACACGAGCACTTGCTTAACTCCTTCATGGGGAGCTCACGGCCGTAGACGATCTGAGAGACTTCTAAGCAGTCGGGTTGACTTTCTTTTTTTTTAGTGCATTGCATTTCTTATATTTCAAAGTGTATTCAGTGTCACTTTTTACTTTTATTTACAGCTGTTAATTCCATTTAAACCTTTTGGGCTTTTTTTATTTTTGCCAGAAGAATTGAGGTCGCGTTGCGTTTGCCAGGTGCTTTCTGAACAGGTTGAGAAACTCAAAAAAGGCTAAGGAAGCGTACCTACTCTTGTGCACGCCTGCTTCAGGGGAAAGGGGGAGTCT